AGTACTCCCAAAAGGTACCTACCGACTTGAGAAGCCAGACGGACTTACTCTTCCATATCCATGGAATGCTGTCTATTTGAAGAAATATTTCCAATGAATGTTCATAATGTAAATATGACTCTGTACACATTTTGATGAATATAATAAAATTGTGTGCTAAAGAGTCTCTTCAAAAGAACCGAGATACTTAAACTCGGTATACAATTAGTCTTTATGTAGCCAAGCTTTTAACTTGGACAAGACTAATACTTAAAATTTTTGAAAGATATTTCGACTTTAAACCGAGCCCTATTAACTCGGTAAGTTATATCTTTGTCGACCAAACTAATAACTTTCAAATACCAAAGTTCAGTGACTTGGGAAGGTTATGGACAAATTGAAATCAAAATTGGATTGTCTTTAAATTCAAATCTTGAAGATTGGTTTGAAAAAAGATAATATCCAAATTTCCATCTAAAAAAGGTGGTGTCCACTCAAAAATTTAGTTTGGCCGACTTCTTAACACTTTGAAATATTCAGCAAAAGTAAAATGTCATGCTGGATATAAATTGTGGATGAAAATAATAAAAAAGGAATTTTCATTCATACTAAATAAAATTATCCATTACAATCAAAATCATGTGTCTCGACATGCCGAGAACACAATACAAAAAAAGGAAAGAAAGAAAAACAACATAAAAAACAATTAAGCCGACTTCGCCGGATCATCAGCCTTCTCGGCAACATCAACTTTATCCTTCTCCTTCGCTGCATCCTCTGCATCATTCTTAAAGATCTGTTCATACATAATACGGCTGATGATATCAAAGACTCGATCCTCCTCAGCCTTAGCAGCTTCTTCTACTTCAGTAAGAGTTACCGGGATGTGTTTGTCTAAAACAGCATCATCTCCCCCTTCAGGTAACTCGGTAGCAGTACGCTCATCCACCTTCTGAGACAACTCGGCAACCTTCCTCTCCAGAAATGCTATTACAGCTTTGCGCAGTTGCTCTGGAGTCATCTTTTCGAGCTCTTCCTCTATGTTCACCTCGGCCAAAGTCTTGACATAAATATTAGCCAGTTCAGACTTCTTTTCCTTCTCACCCTCGAGCACCTTTCGTCCGACGCAGACGAGCTTTCCTCTCCCGGTCCGAGTCAGAAACCTCAGATCTTTTTGTCTCGGCCCCGATAGATGCAAGAAGACCCTCACAGAAGTTCTTTTCGTCTTCATCGGCCTCAATGTGAATAGTCGCAATTGAGGGGTTGAAGTTATGACTCTGAATCTTGTGAAGGAGAAACTGACGAATCACCTCAATATCATACAATCCTTCGTCAAAACGCTCAATGATCCAGCGCAAATTGATACAGGTGTTCATTTCAAATTGACGGTCTTCATCCTCGGAATCAGATTCAACACTGGCCTTTGATCTGTTCGCTTCAGCTTCGAGGATCCTTCCAGCCCTTAGCCCATCATTGTATTTTTCTTCAGCAAACTTTACCTTCTCTTCCTGCAGTTTGCTGAGTTTAGCAAGATGAGCATCTCGGTCTTTCTTCAACAATTCTTCGACCTCAGACCGACTTCTTCGGGTGACCTCATGAGCTTCTTGTTCTTTGCGGAGGAGAGATTCACACCGAGAAAGCTGCTCTTCAAGCATTTTGACACGTTGCTCAGAGGTGATAACTTGGCTCGTTAACTTCAGCACGTCGGAGTCAAGACTTGCTTTATCAACCTTCAGAGCTTCGATTTCACCTTGAGCGATTGTAAGCTGCTCGGATTGCTCAGTAATTTTAATTTGTAGCTCTTTTTCTTTCGCTGCTGCTTCCTCTCTGAGAGATGCAAGAGCTCCATCTCTGAGTTCTAGAGTATGTTTTTTCTCATCAACCTGCGCTGCGTTAAGTCTGAAATCATCTTCGGCCATCACTAAGCTGACGAGTGCACGGCCTAAACAAGCCTTGGCATACTTAAATTTGTACGTACTCGGGAGAGAAGACACCCCAATTTCAGATCTCGGATCCCACACCATCATTGGGACCCGAGCTGCATCCATAACATGACCAGGGAGCTCGACGGTACTCGATATCTCGGGAATCTCTACCGACTCAAAGGTTGAGAACCATTTCTCAACCGATTCCCGAGGTTGTTTAAAATTTAAGACCCTTTCTTCATCAATGGGTAGGAAGGATCGATTCACCAAAGGTTCCTTCTTCTTTTTTCCTCGATCGCCGACGTCATGTTTCTTTTTTATTCGCTCCTCGGCGACGGGAACGCTCTCTGCACGTCTTTTTCTTGACCGAGTAGCTGGAACTTCACGCTCAACAACAGTTTCGTGGCCACCATCAGGCTCCTCGGAAGCAATTTCAATAATTGTCGGAACTTCCACCGGAGTAACCTCGATGACCGGCTCGACTTCAGGCAAATCAGCAGTGGCAGCAGCAATAGCAGCCATTGGACCTGCTGCTGCAATAGCTAGAGGATCTGGTTGCAATATCTTAACAGTAGCTTCAGATGTAGCACCATCACCGATGTCGGTTTTTGGAGGATTCATGATCGGGTTGTCCAAATAAGCCTTCACCAATTTCTTACGACCCATTCCAATAAGCGTAATTCCTTACTCTTTCCGACTTTGGTTCGAAGGTCTAGATTTGGACTTTTTTGGCGGAAAGCTCTAGCGTCACGGATAGTCTTGAAACCAAGAACTTCGAGAAGTGGATAGTACACTGTAATCATAAAACCGAGTTATTACGACATTCAAAAGCTACCGACTTCAAATGAGATTGAAAATTCAGTTCGAGCTTACTTGGTTGAAAAGAACCGTCTAAAATTTCCGGACACAATCCAGCAGCTTTCAACCTCGAATCCTTTAGAATTAACTTGAAGCCGCGTTGTGCCTTCTTGAGTTTTAACAGTTCAGAAATTCTTTCTCTTAAAGTCACGCTGAGTTCAAGTCTTTGCTTTTGGCTGCAAACAGTAAAATTGCTGACCTGTTAGTACACAAATAAAGGACGAGTTAGAACAAACTCGGTTTAATGGAAGAAAAGACAATACTTACAAACTGCAGAATTAATATTAATAGGAATCGACATTCCATCAATCAAAGGTTTATTGAAATTTGGGGTCTGCCAATCCCCACCAACCCACAGCCATTCTTCTTGGAACCCATGAAGAGAATCCGGGATTTCAGTGATTAAATCACCAATCTTAAATCCACTTTGGGGTCTTCCCGCGCAAGCGTAACAAACCAAAGGATCTGTTACTTGCCTGTCGGCACATCGCCTAAACGAATAGAGACTCCTTAATTCTTCAACGGTTGGCATGTCCCAACCCTTTTCCTTCAACAACACCATAAGGCCAATGATTCTTTTCCACGAATTTGGCGCTATTTGGCACAAACCGATCCCCCAATTCCTCAGATAGTCTGTGATTAAAGCGGGGAGTGGAAATCTTAAGCCTGACCTCAGCGAGTCAGCAAAAACACCAACACAGCCCGGTGGAGGACAAGTTATTCTTTCACCCGGATATGGAGCAAATAATTTTACCGAAGAAGGAATGTAAACTTCCCCTCGAAGCATGACGATGTCGGCGTCAGTAAGAATACTCGGCTCTCCCCTGTATTCGTCAATTGGTTCGGGCCACCGACGAGCAGGACGTCTCCAATAATCAGGGAGTGACATAGCGTCCTTCTCAACTCGTTTATCCTCTTCAATGATGTCTTTATTGAGATTCAGTTGTTTCACCAGAAGAGGATCCCATCGATAATATTCCAAAGGTAATTCCAAATCCTCATCGGTGAGAATCGGAATATCGGAAATTGTTCGACTACTACTATCCTCAATCCGAGCAGACATTTCTTCTTTCGAAATCGATAAAAGTGAAGGAAAACTCGAAATAAAACAAGAAAACAAAAAAATTAGGGCAAAACCTTACCGAGAATCAAGTACAATCAATTGACGAAGAAATGAAGAAATCACGCAAGCAATGTGAACTGAAAACGAAGAAACTCAAGACGAAACAAACAGAGAAGTGAGCAAAGAATTAGAAGATGAACAGTGAAGAAACCCTTTACAGTTACAATCGACACCTATTTAAAGGTTTTGATTTATTACCGTTGGCAAAATCAGAAAACGGCGCGTGTAACGGATGTATCTCGAAACGGCGTAACGTTACAATTATTATCACTACACGTGGATGCACCCTGAAACGCCATGTCGTTATTAATTTATATCCGTTGGACCCATTAAATGCAGATACATCTTTTGAGAGCCGCCATGTCAGACCACGTGCCATACAAGAAATTGCAAATAGAGTGAAGTGTTCTCATGTCGGTAGACAAAGCAAAACAAGTCGGAATAAAGCAGAACAATAAACGACATCAGCAGCTACTTGACAAAGCTCCAAATACCTACTAATGTCGGGGGCCTCACTGTTGATATCCGACTTGATTGCAGAAATTAAAGACAAAGATTAGTCACTGTTGAAGAAATAATCAATTAAAGAAGATGAACTTACAGCAAGTCGGTATTAATTAGAATTAATTACCGACTTGTGAAGAATTACCGACTTCCGAAGATCATCAAAAGAACCGATATCTGAAGCTAATACAAGTAGACCGACTTCAGTCCAACAAATATTATGACGAAATCGGGTTCCTCTATTTCAACCGACTACTGCAAAGTCCAAATATCCGAACAGAAAGTAATCATTGGACGCGTCTGATTGGACCAGCAAAACAAAAAAGTAATCATTGATGTTTCCCACCGCTTAAAGTGAAGCAGCTCAACATTAAATGCGTCTTTATCCGTTTCGAGCAAGAAGACAAAAATTACCGTACTATAAATAGCAGAATTTATGATAGTACGAGGATCTTTTTCAGATCTTTTTGGAACACATTGTACACGGACTTAAGATAATCTCGGTTTTCAACACATAACCGACTCCTGTACTCTTGTGAATATAACAAATAATATCAAATTGAACGCATATCTTAGCTTTCTTAACATCAGCTGTATTTAATTTTGAGTTGTTAATTCAAGACAACAACAAGATCCTTAACCAGGTTGCATGAAGACTGAACCCCTGGTTTGAATTTGATTCTCTGCAGTTTGTATGGACCTAAGGGTATCCCAGTATAGTTGTGCTTCTGCCACTGTTAAGTTGAACTTGAATTAATTTGTCAAACTTGGGCTTGATCTCCATCCATGAGTTCCATAGCCAAGATCCACCACTTCTCTTTTGAGCATCACAAAAATCCAAGTTAGGGAAATTTCAAGATTTCAGCAGTCTGCAAACTAAAAGTTTAGGCTGGGTGGCTAACTTCCACAATTTTTTCATTATAATGGCCTCATTGCAAAGCCTGATATCCTGGAACCCAAGACCACCTTGATCCTTAGGGAGAGCAACCTGGTTCCAGTTCATCCAATGCACACCTCTAGAATGATTACCATCTTTACTCCACCAGTAGTTAGCACATAACCTTGCCACTTCTTTGCAAACAGATACAGCGAGCTTAAAGCAGCCTATTACATAAATGGAAAGTGCATTAATGATAACTTTGATCATAACTTCCTTACCTGCAGGTGATAACAGTTTACTTCTCCAGCTATTGATCCTGCCCTTTATAGCCTCCAGAACAAATGAGAATGCTTGAATTTTTGATTTGCCTATCCCCAGAGGCCAACCCAAGTAGTTTGTGGAGGAATGTTCAGTAATGTTGTTAAAAATGAAACATATTCTCCTTCTGAGTGGAAGAGGTGAGTTCTTGCTGAAGTAGATTGATGACTTGCTCCAGTTGACTTTCTGTCTAGAAACGAATTGATATTTGGCAAGTATATCCATGAGCTAGAATGCTTGATTGCTATTAGCTTTGCAGAAGACCAGTGTGTCATTGGCAAAGAGGAGATGAGTTAGGGTAGGACCATTCCTTGAAATTTTGTGTAACACCCCGCTTATCGGAGTAACTTTTTCGCAACTTTTACTTCGAAATTATTTTAACTCTTTCGAAATCTTTTGCGACTAACTCGGGATGCTACTCAAACTCATCATCTTGAAAATCCGTTTATCTTTAAACTTTTGTCTAGTACTTTCCTTTAAACTTGCATTTAAAATACCATAATCATATTTCTTATAATGATAAAAACTTGAAATCTGAAATTTATTAAAATGCAAGTTCAATACTTAATGTGCATAGCGGAAATACTTGAAAACGTGGTTAATTATACATATAAATGTCCTCATCAAAGCTTGTATTCATCTGAGTCCACGATCCACACCAACACTGCTCCACTCACACCTCTTCTTCGACCTGTTACCTGAAACTAAAACTCATGGGGATGAGTAACGAATATGGATAATCATAAACCGATATATGATCGGTAACTTAAACTTTTATCTTCTCTTGCCGATAATTAATCGGATACGTGTGCACACTCTGATGGATATTTCTAAGGCAACTCAGGCGACCTCCATCAGAACATAGGATATAATCTCTGAGAACAAATTAATGCCTCCTCATCCTAAGCGTAATAATCTTAAACTTTAGGATATACTCTGAGACAACTGATGGCCTCGTCATCCCATATGACATCAATATCGTACTCAATGTGATACCCGTTCAGGGTCCCCACCTTTTTGTCTTTGAAATCATTTGAAATACGATAAGTGCTGTACTGGTACTGTATCTGCAAGTTACATCAAATATAAACAAATTACTAAGTGCTATGCTCGTATACTCAATAAGATTTTTAAAATTATTAACTTATCCAAATCTTATAGAAATTCATTAAACTTGTTTTTTTTCAAGTTTATACTTAACTTCTCTTTTTACTTTTACTTAAGGTCAATTACTTAATCTTATATAAATCATGTCTTCATAAACATCAATATGGTATTATACTTAGCATGTCATAACTCAAATGTGAAATTAACTATATTTCACATTATACTTGATTTTTTTTTTCCAAAGACATCAACACTCATATTCATAAGCCAATCGGCCAAATAGTACAAAAGTCTTACACAGCCTATAATAATGGGAGGTTACATATCAATTAGCAACCTAATCGAAATAAAAATTACAAGATTACACAACCAGCTCGACAATCAGTGACATGAACCCAAATGCTCAAAACACACACAGGAACCCAACCACCAAATCAGATACACAAACTAGAACATACTACTGACACTAGACCTAGTATATTCCAATCTGCTCATCTACACTTCTTGGAAATCTCTCCAGTCCTGTACTGCATTGTCAATGATCCTCTTTGCTGGCATCCTTTTGTTCTCAAAAACACATAAATTCCTGCTCTTCCATAACCACCATAATATATAGGTAGTTAATTGAATTCTGTCTTCAGATATCTCTTTGTAGTCCATTGAACTCAACCACTTTAAACTTAAAATATGCTTACTTTTACCAACATCATCAACATGATTTATAACTTATCTTAATTTAACTTGATCAACTACTTAATTCATCATACATCATATCTCCCAATTTTTAGATATTGGCTTATACTAAATTTTCACTTAATTAACTTGAAAGTGAAAATAATCTCAAGCCATAATCATCTTTTAATCATAACTTTTAATCTTGATATTAATGTGTCATACTTAATACAATCTTTATAAAATTGTATACTCAACATATTATACCAATACTTCATCAAATTACTCATCACTTATATGAGAATTATTCATGATCATCTCATTTTAAACTTAACTTTAACATATGTACTCTCCACATATATATAAAGTTACCATAAAAATTTCACTTTAAAATAATACTCATATATTAAGATATATTATTTCAAAGTTGAAAATATAACAAAATATTCAACTAACTTGTATGCTTGCTTTTAAAAATCTATATCTCATGCTAAACAAGTTCAATAAAGATAAAATTTAAACTGGAAGTTCTTAACTAATATATAAATTGACCATAAAATTTCCAACTCAAAATAATATCAATAGATAGGGTAATTAAATACTACAAGTCATCATTACTACACAGATTTTTCACTGGACAGCACCTTAATCAATGATTTTTATAAAATTCATTTTAACTTCAAATAATCTAAAACTTTCCAGTATTATGCTCAGCATAATGATGATCTCATATAAAAATTTTCATAATTTTTTGGAATTTAATAGCTTGGTCAAAAACAACAAACATAAGCAGCTGCAACATGAACTTTAAATAATCTTACTTTATAATCTTATTTTATATACTTATATATATATATAAAATTTATGATTTCTAAACATGATAACATATCAAAATCACATATAAACACTTATAACTCTTAGCTATAATTGATGATATCAAAGTTTGAATACATACCTGTAACGCCCCGTTCGATTTTTAGAATTTTTCGGAATATTCTATTTATCGAATATTATTTATACAATTATATTTACTGGTCGCGATATCGACTTAAATAAAAGGTTGGAATACTCGATTTTTTTTATTGAAAAACATTCGTCGTTCGGCGATCTCAGTTTAATCGCGTGAACCGATTGTAAACCCGTTTATTTATGAATAATTTTGAGAATTTATTATTATTATTATTGTTATTATTAATTGTTGAATGCTAAAATTATTTTAATTGTCTAATGTGATTTAATTGCCTAATTGCTTAATTGTCTAAATATTAATTAATTTCGTAAATGTCTAAATGCTATTATTATAAATTATTAAAATGTGTGTTTGTATTTTTACTAATTTATAATTGTTATTATTTTAAAAATTATAATTATGTGTATTATAAACATATATTATATATATCCGGGTTATTTATTTGTGCGATTAAATTTATGTATTGAGCCCGAGAGAACCGAATTTTAATCTGCGTCAAGTTGGGCCCGAAAGCCGAGCCCGAGAGCTGGCCCAAACCACCCAAACCCGGCCCGTATGCGTGTGGTGAGGTGAGTCTTGTAGGGCAAGACTTCTAGCCCTAATCGTATGATTAATCTCGCTCGATAGCAGAGATTATAAGAGCGCAGCTTTTCCTTCGTCTGTTCAAAAACCCTCGCCATCATCTTGCTCTTCGATCGCGACTGAACAGGAAGAAAGATTTCCCTCATCGTCATCTTCACCCTAATCCCTCTCCCGCACATCACCTTCGCTTCATCTTCTTCATTCCCCCATCCCGCCATCTTCATTCGCGCAGGCCATCTCCGATAACCCTCCTTGTTTCCGCAGGTTAATTGCCACCGTCGTCCTCCCGCTATTTTCCGACGGTCCCTGTTCAAGTGAGTCCTTCCGGCGTGAATCCATCGCGAAGCCTGCCCCTCTCCTGCCCGTGACCTTCATCGGCAAGCACAACCAGTTACAGCAACTCTCTTCATCCTCCGCGCAGCGACTCCTTTCCCGGCGAGACAAAGTTTGCCATCGAGCCTCGAGCCATCTTCGCCATCTTCGCGCGCGTTCGTTCGAGCCGTCACCCTTTTCGTTCGAACATTTATTTTTCCTGAGAACGGTACAAGGCTCGACTCGTCTCGTTTAATTTTACGTCTCGTCTATTTTGTGTTCTTGATTGTCGTATGTGTATATTGAATTCATAAGAATATGCCTATGTGATTTTTATTTGTGTTCATGAGGTTATTGTTGTGTCGAATGTGAAATTGTGCGTTGACGAGCCTTTCGATTTTGGAAAAATCGAACGAGGCCTCGTCAACTCGTGAATTTGTCGCTGTGGGCTGGAACTTATGTCGTCCATAGTCTCATGGCGAAGACTTCGGACGGATTCGTCATAGAATGAGTCGGTTATGAATTAACAATTTTGTATTGTCGATGTTTTGGTAGATAAATTATGATAAATTTTGTGATGCTCGTATTGCTGCGAAATTTTGTGTGCTCGACCCTCTGCTGGAAATACCTGTTGTGTAAAAATTTCAGATTTAAATAATAAGTTTAGCTATTTTTAATAATTATTTGGAAATCTGAGCAGAATCTTGTAAAATGCATATTAAATTCAGTTTTGCCTCAAAAATTATGGAATTTGAATATGATGTCTTCCTGTGTGTTTTCTAGGTCGTGTAAAAGTTTTGGAATTTTTGGACTTCGTTTGCTATATTTAAAAATTGTTTGTTGTATTCTGCAGCTTCATAATTTAATTTTAGTAAATTGAATTCTTGCTGGAAAATTTTGAAACATTATTGAGAGGCTTATTTAATGTACTTATGCATGCTGTTAAAATATGAAAATTTTTGAAGTTCATTTTAGTTCGATTTTGATTTAAATTCGATAAACTGCTGAAGCTCGTTTGAATTTTTAAAAATAGAAGCAGTTAATGTTAAGGGCTGGGATTTTTATATGTTTTTTATATCATGCTGTAGTGTATTGTGTAAAATTATGAAGTCCTGAATCATTCATTAAGTGTGAGTATAAATTCATGGCTCGGTTTTGCTGATATCTTGTGAGAATTTTATAAAATAGTGTACTTGGGATTTGAAGCTGAAAATTGGTGTATTTTCTTAACTCTGGGAGGTAAAATTTATGTTAAAATTTCAGAGCTAAATTCATATGGCAACCTGGTCAACTCATTTTTGTGATTTAAACTTATATAATCGTAAATGTGGTTTTTAGAATGAAAACTGTTAACCGACTCGTCATTTATTTCATTAAGTGTTTGGCTTGGTCAATGTTTATGTTTGATTATGTGAACTCCCATGTGTAATTGGTTGAGTCTAGATGTCAAGTCTAAGTGTTCCAACGTCCACAGGACTTCACGAACAACTTAGTTGAATCAAGTTCGACTAAGTATGATTGTGATTTCTCGTTTAAGTCTGAATAGGTGTTGATTATAGCATCTGGACTTAATGTAGGTGTTTGACGAGTCGAGCTTGCAATCTAATCGTGCTTTCGTGATTATCTCCTATTTGCGACCAGGTGGGTTATTCAAAATTTCTTATGCATTAAATTCTTTATGAAAGTCGAATGGTGTGATCAATGTATGCATGTGAACCTGTAACCTTCGATGTGTGCGGTTTCGACCTTCGAACGGTTATCCCCGTCGTCGTGTGCGGTTTCGACCTTCGACGGTGCCTAATGATAGGCAGTCTCCCTAGCCTAATGATAGGCAAGGCCGAGGGGAGTTGTACACCCTTCGGTATTTACTCCCATTGTTGTGTGCGGTTTCGACCTTCAATGGCTAATGATAGATGTGCACATGAGTAAAATGTTATGATTAGGAGATGTGATAGTTGAATGATTCGTGTTCATGCTGCGACCATGCTTATTCTGTCTTAATATATAATTTATTGCATAGTGGTGAGCACTACTTTTTCCTATTGTGCTCATCCCCACCTGAAATTCACGTTTCAGGTTAAGCAAGGCGGGCACGATGGCGTGATGGCGAGTGGATGGTCATTTTATGTTATTTGCTTCCGCATTGCTTATTTGAATAAGTTAAACCCGATTTGATGAACTTGAACTGCTTGGGTTTTGAGCATGTGAATTTCTTTCAGAACATGTCGTTTGAAAATGTTGGTTTTGAACTTATGTTTTGGTTCGTATTATTGAACTATGATTGGATATTCAGGATGAATGTGTTATTTGAATATCATGTGAATTGTTGGTTTTAGGACAATAAAGTCCATGTGAAAAACCGGGTAATGAATTCCCGTGAGGTTTCAAATATGAATTGAAATCACGATAATGCCCTAATGATATGGATTTTGAAAAATGAATTTCGAAAATGTAAACATGATTTTGAAATAAGCCATGGATTATTTCTTAAATCAAAGTGGGGTGTTACAATACCTCTTCTAATTATAAGAAAAGAAACTTGCTCCAAGTATTTCTTGAAATTGCTCGGTTTCTCTCTTAAAAACTCAATTTTTACTATTTCTTTTTCTTATAACTTAAAAATCTGAATTCCGATTTCCTCTTATCTACCGGAAGTCCAATTAAGCGCTCACTGCACTCATTACGTCATTCTATGTGGATTAACGAGGAGCCGTATGAGATGAAAATCTCATGTACGGTTATGGTGTAATTCTACCCTTGATGAATGCTCCTATTTATAGGAAAGTTTTAGGGGACAAATAGCACCAAGATTGAATTAAATATCATTTAAAATACTAATTTCTTCAACAAATATGCTAAATAATGTCCCACTCTTAATTTTTAATTTAGTTGACTAATATTATTAAATTTATCAGCTCAATCAATTGCATAAAATAACATAAAAATGAGTCATCATTAATATAAAAATTAAGATGCTTCAAATGATGAAGGTTCTACAAAATAAAAATAATTTCCACAATTTATTTTTTTTTTCTTTTTAATTTCGAATTTTCTAATAAAATCAGAAAATAATATCTCTAATATATAAATCATTTGCAAATGATTTAATGAGGAAAAACATGCT